TGATGAAGCACTAGAGGAAAAGACAAGAAAAAAATTAATCACTATTAATAAATTTTCCAAACCAAATCAACACTGTATATAATGTAAGGGCATAAATATAGTCTCATCTAGAACAAAAGCATTGTGGTGCTATCTTAGTAAGCCCAGTACTTTTTTTAAATATGATTTTATGAGACAAAGCTTTAGTTTTCAAGATCTTCCAAAATATTCCTCTTGCTTCCTCCAATACAAAGACTGCCTCATTTCCTGCAAGTTGTTTTTTCTAATTCTGTTCAAGAATATCAACTTCATTAAAACTTTAGAGACTTAATCCTGAGTTATGGCTTGATGAGATCTCTGTGGGATGAAAGAAATCACAGTATCTGCTAACTGCTATTTTAAAATGTTCTTACAATGGAAACATAATTTGTTGATGAAAATGCACTGCTGTAGAGAAAATAGGACTTAAAAATGCATACAAAATATCAGTTTAAACCCTACAGTGGGTTTCTGAAGAGAAAAGCTTGGCTTCTTGGGGTTTTTTTTAATAGACATTAAGCCAAATATCATTTAATTAGACTGACTTTGTAGTTCAGACATGAGTCATACTTTTAAAAGAGAAAATACAATAAAAATGCTTGCTATAAATGTAAAATATCACTTGTCATGAATCTAATCTCGATGTCTATATTGACCAAAATTATTTCGATTTATAAAAATCTAATTTATATTCCATAGATCACATGATTAAGCATCATTTCCCCTTTATTGTCAGTTTTCTTGAAGTTTCAATTTTCTGTGATGTTTTCTTCATCTATGTAAAAGGATGTGTTTGACAGTAAAAAGTTGAATGAGTGTGCTATTAAATACTACACACCTACCAAAACAAGTTGGAAGAATACTGAAATATTTTGAATAACCATAACTTTTATAATAGTAGAAACAAGAACTCAGAAATATAATACAATGGGAAGCAACAGAATTTCATAAAAATTATAATCACTTTTTTATTTATTGTATCCATTCAGTGTAAATATACTACATCATTTTTTAAAAGGGAGGGGCATATAAAACCAAATACTTAAGTTATAAAAAATATCTAATTTTCTTAGGTGAAGAACTGTCCCGGATTGCTGATTTATTTTAATGCTCTGCTTTGAGGCTAGAAATTAAAGTTTATAAAAAATAATAAAAACATAAAATCACTTAAAATACATAGATTTAGACTTATCTAGTTATTCTATACTTTCCAGAGAGGCTCTCATTTGAAAAATGGAGTAATACTGGATGACCTCCAAGGTTCATGGCCACTCCAACATTCAGAGATTCTAGAAACACTCTTCCCTTCTGAACTGTGAATGCTATCCATTATCTGTAGTAACTTCTGAGTCAAAACATAAATAAATACTTTTGGAGGCAAAAGTACAGGTGCTTCTATTCAACAGTAAAAAAATGTTGAAAATGAATAAGCCATGCAATTCACATGGATATACTAACAGCCTCAATACAGCAAATTAAGAGGCATCAACATTTAAGCATATAAGCAGGCCTGGCTCATACAGGTATTTCATAAATAAATAATGAATGCTTCTTTCTTTATCAGAAAGTGCAAAGAAAAATGTTCTGAAGGCTTTTTTTGTGGTTCAATGCCCTCAGCCAACTAGCCAGTTCGAGGTCTCCAACATCTCATTTCAAAAGAGCTACAGCCCACACAGTGCCTAAGAGTCTAACTATCCCTGTACTGTCGGTATATCTTTAGTATTGAATTTGCCACTATAATACATGCTAGTTATAGGATGATCATTTTAGAACCCCAATTCCCTGACTTAGCCTATGTCTCTTTCTACCAGTTACCTCCTCTACTCTACCCTATTCCTATTCTAATTACAAAATAACAACAACAGCAAACAATCCCTCATGGTAAAAAACAAATAACAAAAAAGTATTTCCATCCTTTGAAAAAGGACACTCAGTTCTTCTTTATACTACTTTTTCTTTGTGTTGTGTTGCAAAGAGCACAGGCAAGGAAAATCAATTGGATATAGTTCTAGTCCCAATTTTGCCACAATATAGCTGCCTAACCTTGTATAAACCACCAACTTGCTCTGATTCTAGGATTTCTCATCTAAGGAAGAATTTTTGCTGCACAGTCCCAGGGTAAAGCTATCACATTGTGCTCCAGGATAATGTTCACAAAGCATCCGATGTGAACCATGGTCCTGTAACTGTGTGATGTGAGGTCTGTCCTGCTAGTTCTCACATTTTCATTCTGCAATATCGTGATTTTGAAATTTGAGACCTTCAGTGTGTAATTTCAGTATTCCCACTGCATTTATCAAGTTTCACTACTATACATATCAAAACTTGGTGAGCTAAGACAACAGAGTGAGAGACATTCGATGTGTCAGCCATGAAATCAGAAATAGAACCGTGGCCTTTCCCATCCAATACCTGGCTTCATTTCACTGTCTCAGCCTCACTCCCCTGGAAAGTCAGGTCAATGAAATGTGACCACTTTACCATTTGTGACTCAGTTTGTAGTTCACAAAGATATGGTTTAGAAGGGCGAGTGAGCTCAAGAATAACTCAAATATTAACTGAACATAATATCAAAGTGCTTATAAAACAGGTTCCCTCAAATAGTTTTTTTTCTTTTTGGTGTTTAGCAACTTCCTCCCAATCCAGTTAAAGAACTCTCCCTGAAATTGAGATGTGGAAGGTGCTATCTCCCTATAAAAATAGGCTCATCCCATGCTACGTGAATCATGGTTGCTGACAGCAAATCAACAGAAAATGTATTTGTCTTTGTTAGTAATGGTTATAGCACACCATCATCTTCCCAAAAAGCTTTTCCGCACCCCACACTCCCATTCTTCTGAGCTAAGCTTCAGAACAAACCGGACTCCTCCACGGTACGAAGATAAATGCATGTTGCCCTTGCATGGGGCACGTCTTAACAGGTACTGTCATCTCTCTGCCAGATTATTACTGTGATACTTCAGCTAAAGGAAGTCATCAGTCAGGATCCTCTCTGCCAAGATGTACACTAAGTAGATGAAAAAGAGGAGCAGATGAAATGAACACTGAATAAAATAAAATAAAATAAAATAAACTCAGCAATTCCCTCAAATTCTGTTTTCAAATGAGATGCTAAGGAAAGGGCCACAGGAAGCAATTTCCTTATGCAAAATTCAGCCATGCAAATTGCTCATCACCAAAGCAACTTCCATAAAGCTCAGGTGAGTTTATTTTATCCATTCACAAATGCAAGCCACCTATCACTTTTATTACTTTATTTTGAACTGAGGATGCTGAGTAGGATCTATTCACAAATATAGAATTATCCCAACTAGAGTGTATGATCAAGCTTCGGAGAGTGAGATTTAAGAGTCACATTGAATTCAGAGCCTTAAAGTTCCCTGTAGACCACATAAGCCCTGAGAGAAGATAGCCCCTAAGTAATCACTGCATGAAAACAGGATGTTATTTCCCCTTAATGTGAATTATTTATTGTGCAGAGATAACTCTAGTTTTTGCATAAATCTTCACTTTTTGAAATGAACAGGTTACAGTAATTGGATGCAAAATAACACAGACTTTAACAGCTCCTGCCTTGGGATCATAACGGTTTTTGTTTACTCCTGAAATTTACTATTTTATCAACATCACAGAATAAGAACATTAGCCCACTGCAAAGAGAAATGTTCTAAAGGCGAGATAATGTCATGAAAACCCAATGGAAAAATGAGATGAGATGGCTTCTTCACAGGACTCAATCCCAAATTTCTAAACTAATTCTGAATCCCAATTGTCCAGATTTTCCAAGTGTTTCCCCTCATCCCAATGACCCTAGCCCATATGCCTCATCCCTAGAACCTGGGCGAACATCACAATCAGAGTTGCGAAGATGCTAACCTAACCCAGTCAACTAATGAGAGAGAGCAAGCTCTCTTTCTAGAGTATTTCCTTTCGGTGTCTGTAGCAAGGGTAGAAAATCTACAGATTGCCAATGACCCTACACCCAGAGGATCAATAAAGTCTGGTGGAAGCAGAGATCTCGGCAATTCTACTTTTATGCTTTCCAGCTGGGACACTGGCCTGCCTTGAGCTGGGAATAATTACTCTGAAACTCAAGGCATCCAATTTCCCTTTGTAAACAGAGGCACATCATAGACAACCATTGGAGTTTAGGGCCAAAGAAGAGAATCAGCTTCAGAAAGGCCGTGCCAAGAAAATCTCTAGCAAGTCCAAGTTTTCCTTACACTCCCTGAGGCCAAACTGCAGATATTATGTTGTTCCCTTCATGTGACAAAAGTAAGTGTGAGTGTGCAAAGGATGGGAGTAACAGGACAGAAAAGTTAATGAGCAGAGCCCTCCGAAACCACGAGAGCGTTTGGAGGAAGAGCATAAAGAAAGGAGGTCTATGTAAAAGCAAGTGAAAGGGCAGGTGGGGAAATGGGAAGGTGAGGAACTGATGGACAAGTCGCAAAGATGCAATAGCATGTGTTGCTGGAGACCAGAGTTAGAAAAAGAGAATAAATTTAAGTTTGTCTGGTGCCTACTAAGTGTCTATTATGTGTCAAAAACTATGCTAAATGTTATGAGAGCTATAGGGAGAAAGGGTTATTTATATTTAGGTCTTCAGTAGGTAATATAAGCAATGGATGGATGGATGGATGGATGGATGGATGGATGGATGGATGGATGGATGGGAGAGAATGAATGAGGTCACTGCCCTCATATGGAACTCTACAGGCTATATGGCATCTATACAGGTAACTCTCATCCTAATCAAACAGTGGTTAAATCAAAGTATAAAGTGTTCTCGCGAATATGGGACAAGAAGCTATTAACTGACAGAGGGTGACTGAAAGAGAGATGTCTGGAAATTAGAGGAGAAGGTGGACCAGAATGGAAGAGGGGAGGGATCCTGCTTCCCTCCCGTGAGCGCCCCTCGGGGCTTTGCCGAAGGAGAGAGGGGATCAGCCTCCGGGGAGCCCACTGTGCGGGCTTCTACTGACCTGGTCTCCGCCTCACTGGCCTCTTGCGGCCACTGCAGAAGCGCACTTTGCTGAATACCCCGAGGACGTGCCTCTCGCACAGGGAGCGCCCGTCTTTGCTGGGGCTGGACCGGCGCTTGGAGGCCGACACCCGGTCGCTGTTGGACTCCCTCGCTTGTCGCTTCTGCCGGATCAAGGAGCTGGCTATCGCCGCAGCCATAGCTGCTCAGCGGCGGGCCCCAGGCCCCGGGCTCCACTGCGCCTTCGGGATCGCGTTCCGCTGGGGCGAGGGCAGGACCTCAGTAGCCAGGAGGGACAGGGCAGGCGCGGGGAGGCAGTGCTAATATTTGAGGAGGCTGCAGTACCGAAAACCTGGCGCCCACAAGGTTAGTCAGAAGCTGGGCAGTGGCGACCAAATGTGTGAAAATCCAGATGTAAACTTCCCGAACCGCTGGCGGCGGGGGCGGGGCGGTCCCAGGCCTTCCTGTTAACTAGACTCTTGCACCCCAAACTTGCACCCCAAGGCAATCCGCGTCCAAGGGGCAATGGGGAGTTTGGTCACACAGCGTTCGGAGTACCAAGTGGAGGGGAAAGAAGGGTGTCCAAAACAACAAGCTGTCCGTCCCCCTGTTGGATAGGCGCAAGCGTTGTAAGGCGTCCAAAGTACATCTACACAGACATACATATAAAACCCGTTTACCAAGCAGAGGCTGGACCAAGGCGGGTAGCGTGCCACCGGTAGAAAACACTAAAAAGTGAATAAAACGTTCCTTTAGAAAACAAGCCACCAACCGCAAGAGAGAAGGAGAGGAAGGCAGCAGTTTAACTCCCTGCAGCCCGCAGTTCTGGAGATTAGGAGGTCTGTCCCGGCTGGGGGAGGTCTATGGATGGCATCGCGCTGGCTGCCGTTCTCCAGGGGCTGGCTGCCCGAGTTCTCGAATTCTGAGAGGCGCGAAGTGGGAGCAGTTAGCGGGAGTCAGGGTAGGGGCGTGGGGCAGGGGTGCATCTATTTCCAGGTGTGGTGTGCAGGACTACCCGCCAGCAGCGCTGCAAAGAGAGCGGGCGGCAAGGGACTGAGAATGGGATTGGTAGAGAGAACTGGAGGCTGGGGGGAGGGAGATCCTCGAGGGCTAAGCACCCCTCAGGGAGAAACCCTTGGGAGGCGAGCGCTGGAGATACAAGAGGTCCCGAGAGCTGGCGCTTTTTCTCTTTCCGCTTGCTTTCTGGCACGAGACGGGCACAGTTGGTGATTATTTAGGGAATCCTAAATCTGGAATGACTCAGTAGTTTAAATAAGCCCCTTTAAAAGGCAGCGATGCCAAAGGAGTCCTCTCCAGCTTAGCACCCACACACCTTTAACTAGAGCTCCCCGCCATGGTATGCCCAGGGCCGTCGCACCCAGCCCGTCTCCACACAGGCTCAGAGCCAGAGAAGGAAGAAGGGGGCGCCCTGTTGGGCTCCGGATCAGGTCATAGCAGCGTTGCCCGGGAACCCCAGGTCCGCGCTGCCCGGCAGTCGACAGCTCACAGACAGCAGATCAGATGGTGATTACCCACCGGACACGAGGCCGATCACTTAGTCCAGCGCAGCCCATCCCGGCGGAGGAAGGAAGTGACCAGCGTGCTGCGAACACCCGCGCGTCTGCTCGAGTGGGGCGGGGGCTGGCTGTGGGCGATGTCAGCTCGAGGCAGCTGTGGCTCAGGGCAGGAGCTGCCCACCATGGTCTGGTTGCCCAGGGAGCAGGCAGGGCCCCTCCGCTGCCCAGAGCAACGGTGGGAGGTGACTGAGGGCGCAACCTGGGCCTCGTAGCCCGATGCAGACTCTGGGGTCGGGGCCAGGAGGCAGTTGCGGACTGCCGCCAGCTCGCCCAACTTGCTGCGCGGGTGGCCCCTCAGAGCCTCAGGTTAGCGGGGCGCCCCCTCCCCCCCCCCGCCACTGCTCCTTCACAGCCACTGGGGCTGGAGGGGGCTCTCAGGGCGGAGTCCCATTCACAGATTGAGGCTCTAGGCGCGCGGAGCCATACCAGCCCCAGAGCACCACTGATGCCTCCCAGCCGGTTTGCTCGGTTGGAGCGCTAGCTCCGCAGGAAACTCCAGGCAGGAACGACCGCTACCGAGAGGGCAGTGGAACCGAGAGCCCAAGTGTGGGCGGCGGTGGGAATACTTCCTGCACTGCTTGCCCACCCTCCAGACTGTTAGAGCGCTCCCAGGTGGGGCCAGCCTGGGAGCTGGGCTCCTGGATTGCAGAGAAGAACCGCTTGATCGGGTCCTCCTCCCCTCCCTCCAGCCCTCTGTTCCCATACTCCCTTCTCCTCCCTCCTTCCAGTCACCCCTCTCCCCCTTCTCTGTCTTCTGTCTCTCCCCTTTTCTCCTCTCTACGCAATCCTACGTGATTGAGGTTTGGATGAGAAATTCTCAGGCAGAGTGAGGGAACTGCAGCTCGGGTCTGCTCTGTCCCGGCCCTCCCCCAGAGAAAACACTCAGCCTGTGAAAGGACCCTGGATGTGGGTGAAGGACCCTGGATGCCCCCAAGAAGGGGTGAGGAGTGGGGTCGCTGAGAGAAGACAGTCCACCCTCTCTCCAATAATCTAAAGTAAGTAGAATGCTCTGTTTAGGAAGGAAGGCAGTGGACGCTGGAGAGAGTAACAATAGCCTCTTGGGTCCTCACCTTGGGCCCCATCTTTAGCTCACTTTGGAAGGGGAAGAGTGTCTCAGCTTCCTTGGAACCCAGATTTCTTGGTTCTATCTGGAAAGCTGCAAAACAGGCTCAATCCCTAAACTGCAGGACCAAGTGAGCACTCTGTACAAAAAGGAGAATGGAGGTGGGGTGAGAGGATGGCTGTGGGTAAGGGCAGTCAACCACCAGCTCTGGGGTGCAATCAGGTCCCAGCAGTGCTTTTGTGATGACAGCTGGATGTTACAGGAAACCAAGCAGAGGAGATAATGGCACCCAAGTTAAGCTGCAGCATGAAAGACTGTGGAAATGCAAAAGGAGTAATCACCTTCCATTCATGCCAAGGTCTGGAAGTAGCTATTAGTTATACTTACGAAGTCTCTCCAACTTATCTTTAAATATCCCTAATGCATCTCCTTCACAGACACCTCACTAAGCATCAAGGGTAGTTAGTGCCCAAGGATTAAATGGATGGGTTTCAAGCAGAAACAGGTGCATGTTGGAAACACCCTAGTAGAGGGCAAAGAAAATGCAGGCCATGGAAGCTACTGAAAATGGATGTGGGACCCAGAGAGGCTCCCGGAACTCTTAGGACGTGGTCACAAACCTTTGGGCCTAGCAGACATTCTCTCAATCACTGAGAAGGACTGAAATTTGTGACGTTGTTTAGACAAGCACTGTGTCAAACAACCCTACTGTGTCTTGGGGCCGGGACCTTTCATGCTGCCACTGGGCATAACACAGGCAGACACGGGTTTATAGAGCAGACAGCGGGGAGGAGGATTAAATGGGCAAAGTGCCCTGAGAGAGGGGAACCCCAACTATCAATAGAGAGCACATAGCCCCTGCAGCAGTTGAGTGTGGCTGAATAAGGACAGCAAACTTGGGATTTTGATAACACAGAACAAAACAGGCAAATACATATTCAAAAGCACATTTGCATGAGGCAAGGGGATCATCACTTAAAATCGAGGTAACCCTATACCAATCAGGCAAATGTTCACATTCCACAGATGAAATTATTTTCCTTCCTTGGCTACCAGAAGATCTTTTCATTTTTGCGGAAGGCTGGAACAGGTAGTACTGGCTGGCATTGGGGGCTCCGTGCCTTTCTTCAGTTCAACGCACAAAAAGAAAAAGGTCAGCTAAGGCGAGGAATCTACAGAAATGGGCAAGGCGGGGGTATACAGTGAGGCCTTGAAAAAAAAACACTGCTGAATTCCAAGTCTCTTTTTTATCTTCAAAATAGGGATAATCATTCCCATACACCTTACAGAGCTGAATATGTATGTGCAAGCATTTGGAAAACAGGAAAAATGTCAAATGAGTGAAAGAGATGATGACAGTGTTTTGTTTTGTTGTTTTTTTAAGAAAATGCATAATGTTCTTCTGAGATGCTTTTTAAAAATGCAGATTTCTGATAGTTTCTCAGAATGTGAAGGAGGAATTTCTATGAGTAAAGCCCAGGAATTTGAGTTTTTAACAAGTTCTTCAGGTGTCAAAGTTTGAGAGTTTAATATATATATTGTATCAATGTAGATAATACTAGAAGGAAGAAATACACTCGGACTCTCAAAATCTAGCCATTTCTCCAAAACTGCAGTCCTCTGACCCCCCTCACCCCTCCAAAGACATGAAAAGAGGGTGCTTGTTCTCTCATCTTTGAGTGTGTTGAATTTTTTCTGAGTTTATGAAAAAGGATGTTTTGATGCAGAAGGTAACCACTGTGGCAGCCATAAGATTGAAGAGGGTGATGGGGGGAAAGATGAAAAAGCAGGTGACAGCGGCTGTTTGAAGTTCTTCTGCCTTGACATGACAGTATCAAGTTAGGTATTCAAGGAACAAAACAAAGACAATAAATGCCAGCTTTCTGAGAGAGACATTATTCCTGTCTTTAGATCTCTATTAAAAGAATGTGGTGATTAGACAACAAAGAATACTTTTTCCCTTGCACTCCTGCGGCTATTGTCAAGATGTTTTTTAGCTGTTTAGCCCTTTAAATCTTCATCAGTGTCATTTGTTCCATTTCCTCAATGAGAAAAGGAGGTAAGTGTAGGAAAATTTGATAAGTTATGTAGGACCCGTGTACAGGGCCATTGAGATCAGAAGCAATACTCAAGTTAATTTTTTGATATCCAAAAATTCATAACTTTCCTCTCTGGGCCAGTAAATCTCCTAAGATTACCTCCATGGCTACTAGGACCCTTCAAGTAGCTTTGCATTTTGGGGTCAGGTATTAAGATTAAATCAACCCACCAATGATTTACATAAAACCATCAGGTTATTTTAAAAGGCAACATGTCAGGGATAACAATACCTTGATTTGTAAGCAATCTTTCTTTGAACAACTTGAGAACTTTCCTTTATCATTCTGAAGATATCATGGAATGAAACAGTTCAATTACTTTGGAGAAAGAGCCAGATACCCATTGAAAATGGAATTACATAGTTATATTTCTGACCTCTAGTCAAACAAATGAAACATGAACAATCTTCAGCATCTCCATGGTTTAAAATGAAAAAACACAGAACGTTTCAGAGGTCAAGTCTTCCAGCTCCCAAATCAAACTAATATTAGGACCATCACAGTCATTCACTGGAAACCTTGACCGAAGCGCAGATTACATCCAAGGCTCTGTTTCAGTTACCAAGGGAACTCTATGTACCTCTACATTCTCCCTGCCCTCAACAAGCCTATAGTTCATGTCATCTTGATCTTGTTTGGCTCTTGTCTAATCACCCACTTGCTTTATGCTACCTACTGCACAAGTGAGTCAGTCTCTCCAAGACACATCTGCAAAATAGATCAGTGATAATGACACTAGCAGTACCTATGTAACTGGGCTGCTGCAAGACTTGAAGAAGATGTCATAATAATGTAAAGTATTAGAATGAGCCTGCCATTAAAATTTCCATGTAAACCAGGCCCCTGCTTTAAAACCCAAACTTCCCCAAACAGGAAAATACACCTTGTGATTCACATACATCATCCACTATTCACTCCTGGACATAATGCATTTAATAAAGCCTGGAAATCCACTTGAAATGAGTGATTAACCTTGACATTGTAATGGCGAATGAAATTTTCATTAGTGGAATATTGTCGATGTCTGTTGGGAACACAAAGGAGCCTCACTCTGTTCATAGATCATCCCAGTCTGAGCTCTGGTTCCCGATTCAAAGCTTGGAGAATATGAGCTCACAAGGTGCTCACAACAAAAAAAGCTTAATGGGCAGAAGAAGACCTTTCCTCCATGGATTTTATTCCATACAGTAACTTTACTTCCATTTTTTTTTCTCTGCCAAATTGTCAGTTACAGTAAGTTGGCAAAAGCAATATAAACAATTACTTTCTAATAATT